TCCCGAAAAGCCCTATTCTAATGTCTCCAAGTTAATGAAAGTTGACCTGCCTTCACGTTCCCATGTTCCTACCCCTATTCTAGCACCATCCTGTAACTGTCTGTTTTCCTATCACTCTCTCCATCTTAAACTTCTTAGGGATAGCGATCTTCTTTTTTACTGTTACATGTCCAGTGCCAAGCACAGCTTTTGGCATATACTAAGCCTCTCAGGGTTTGTGCAATCCATCAATAAAGCCAAGATCAGAAGATATGATCATTTTTAAAATTCACTTTTGCATTTTGATGACAACCAAGCCTTTCTGCTATTTATAGCCTAAATTTAGTTTTGCGCACACAATCCACAAATGTTAGCTGAGATGCTTAGTACCTCTACGGGTTGTATGCCCAGGCTTCTTATAGTGCTTGTTATATAACAGGTCCTCAGTACATAATTTTGTAATGAATTAATTAGTACAGAGATGATGAGTATACCACTTTCCTAAGGCATTTAGACAATGTCTTACATATAAATAATTATATGGGACAGAATATGGAAAGAGCCATATGGGAAGCATTTGGGGTAGCTTTCTTTTGCTAAGCTGAAAAACGTGATTGCAAGGAGTGAGGACTTAAGTAGGCCCAGGTAGTCACTGAATCCTGGGCAAAAGGAGGTAGCATTTGATCTAGCCTATGAAAATTTTAAAAAATGGCTTGACTCATCAACAAGGAAAACATGCAACCTACCGGGTTCATTATGTACTTGTAGTAGTGATGCCCTTAAATATCACAACAATCGCAAGTATTTAGAAACCTATAAAAATATTTTATAAACAAGATGCCACTGCTAGTAAAACAGAGGTCATACTTACAGGAACAGAGTAAGGATCTGCAACAGGACTATAGTTACTTCGATCTCTATTTCAATGTGTTCTTGATAGGCCATCTCCCATTTTACCTGGTTCTCTGAGGTCTCTTAATGAGCATTGCTGGAGCACTCTTCCACATGTACTTAAGGGCCCACTGTAGAAAGACTGGAGTGTCATGGATAGAGTTCAGGTTCTTAATCCCAACGCCCTGGTTTGAAATCCAGCTCCACCACCTAGTGGCTGCGTGATCTTGGGTAATTAACTGAACCTCACCATGTTGGAGTTTTGTCACATGGACAATAGCATTGACAAAAATAACAGAACTTACCTCATTGGGCTGTTTGGAGATTTAATGAGTTCATGCATATCCAGTACCTGACACACAGTAAAAACTCCATTAATTCTATCTCTGGTGATTACTCTCATGTGCTACATTAAGTGCTGTGAGCCCAACAGTGAAAAGGGAAGTTGTGGTTTCTGTACTCATGCAGCATGCTTGCCATTTGCTTGTTTCTCTTTGCTGTGTAATTCATTCTTCAGCCTTCCTCTGCTTGGCTCTGAAAGGGACCCAACTCCTACAAACCACATTTCCCAGACTCCCTTGCCAATTGGCTCCCTGTTCAGTTTGGCAACAGGACGTTTAGACAAGAGAGTGAGATTGGGAGGCCAACAGGCCCTCTCTGCTTCAGTGGCATCACGGGCAGAGGCCGTCTCTTCTCCATTCCCCTTCTCTCTCCAAACAGAGCTTCTTTGGATGCTTCTTACCAGCTTTCTGCCTTGGGGAAGAGGCCAATACAAAAGAGAACAAGAGGAAAAAGACAAATTCCAGATATGATACTAGATTCACCAATGCCTGAATATTGTCTATGACTAGACTTTTAAATATATAAGCCTACCCAAAAATTCCCCTTTTCACTTAAGCTACTTTGATTGCATTTCTTTCACTTGCCACTATGTGAGTGCGATAATACAATAGCTACTAATTCCTGAGAACTGTTTGAGATGGCATCACAATATAAACCAATTGGTATTCTCATTGCATCCATGTCCCTGGAAATCACATAACTAGTATTTATAGTCCTGCTAGCATTAAGATTGTAAAGATGAGCAAGATAAACAGAGTGTTTCTCTTTGATGATACAATAATGACTAATTGTTTTCAAAAACATTAACTTTTATTCTACGTATTCCAAAATGCTCTTTTCTCTGGAGATCTGAGCATCTTCTCATACTTCTCATTAGATGTATATCTTAAAACTAAAGACATCTCATCCATTTTAACACAAGGATGTAAACTAAAATGCAAAACAGGAATTTTGTGGTGAAAGTTTTCATTTATTTTCAATAAAGTGAATCCCAAGCCTCCAGTTGTTCTTTATGAAAGCTTCCCAAGGCAGGAGAATTTTTTTCAGTGTAACGAAATTAATGGTGTCGCGACTACAGGACAATCACTCATTCTGCTCTATGCTTTTTTGGCTCTTCTCTTCTCCATTTGCCTATGATGATGCAATTCATCTCCTGATGATGGATAGGCTTCCTCTCCTTTTCAATCACTAGCCTGAGGCACTGAAACTTTCCCAAGACATGTCCAAAGTTCATCTGTTTGGGAGATTTTTTTTTTTTTTTGAGTCTTTCATGGTTGATGGAAGTAAATTTATAGTCATGATGCAAGTATAAGAGTGTATGTGCATGCTTTGTCCCTAAAATGTATGCAGTGGCCTTTTTTTTTTAAAGATTTTATTTATTTATTCATGAGAGACACACAGAGAGAAAGAGAGAGAGAGAAGAGGCAAAGACATAAGCAGAGGGAGAAGCAGGCTCCATGTAGGGAGTGTGGGACTTGATCCTAGGACTCCAGGATCACCCCCTGGGCCAAAGGCAGGTGGCAAACCACTGAGCCACCCAAGGATTCCTGCAGTGGCCTTTTAATGTTATAATATATGGTCAGGCTGCAGTTGCTATGGAAATAATAACCAAATTTTCTGACCTTTGAGGGTAGGGAGATGCAATGGTGGCAGCTGTGATCACAGCTGAGGATTGCTGATAGAGTTAAAGTAAAGATTAAAGAGTAGGGAATCCCTGGGTGGCCCAGCGGTTTAGCGCTGCCTTTGGCCCAGGGTGTGATCCTGGAGACCTGGGATCGAGTCCCATATCGGGCTCTCTGTGTGGAGCCTGCTTCTCCCTCTGCCTGTGTCTCTGCCCCAATCTCTGTGTCTTTCATGTATAAAATAAAATTTAAAAAAAGGTTAAAGAGTAAGGGGCTCTTTATACCTTAATGTGGAAACCAGAGCCATCTATTCTTCCCCTGTGTCTACCAACAATATCCATCAGAGCAAAACTAAGGACTTACAAGTATTCCTTTAGCTATTATTTTATACTATTTATTTTGGATGCTGGTTGAGTGGAATTTTGGAGTTCTTGATTATAATTGGTCTATAATTTTTTACATAGCATAAAATCATGCATTCTGCTAGTGGAACACATTATATACATATTAGTGTCCACACAAGATAATGTTACTATCAAGACAGCAAGTGCCTGCTTTCATTTGGAATGTACCACATTTTTTAGTCAAGTGAATACCCTCTCTGTTTAGAGGAGATCATTTTCTAGGACCTCTGTGACCACTGGGGAGTTTCTCTGATAGCTTCCTGTATGGCACTGATCCTTTCATATCATTAAGACTTAGATGTGCCAAATGAGAAGCTCATATATCTGTGTTTTTTTCTGTTCATACTACATGTCAGGAGAATGTTAGGGAAGTGTGGAATACAGGGAGTGGTATCATCACCCTAATTGCTTAGGGAGGGTCCTCTATGCCCAATACAGTGTTAAGCTCTATTGGTATGGACATGAATAGGAAATGATTCCTGCCCTCAAGAACTTGCTTGGCCACATAAAGAAAGAATCTACACAGACTGCATGTTGAGTACCAGCAGCACAGGAGCAAAGCCAGCAGAGGCATCCAAATATAAAAGGGAGAAGTGAGTCCAATGAGATGGGCAGGGAAAATGCTGAAGGGAAAGCATAACTTGAGATGGGACCCAAAGGAAGGGAAGACCTAGATAAAGGGGAAAGACTGTCTTTGGTTTTAGTAAACTTCAGAACTTGAAAGTACTCCATATGTATTTTTTGAATGTGTTAAATATTATATTAAAATAAAGGTGAGGTCAAGCAAATGGTGTGAGCAAAGATGCAGATGGGGCATGATCTAGTGGTTAAGGACATTGAGTAGTCTGGTTATGTTGGGGAAGCAAAGGGTTTTACTAGGTATTCTGTAGCAATGAAGATGCTCGGACAATTGGAGGACTATGAAGGATGGGTTAGGAAATCTGGGATTCTGTAGATACCAGGTAACTTTGAAGGCAACAGGGTTTAAATTCTAAAAATTTAGAGGTCAAGGTGAAGAATCTAGAATGGTAGTAAACAGAGTAAATTGTTACCCACTGCTTAGAGAGAGGTAACCAGTCAGTAAATGAGAATTGAATTTGGTTGCAAAACCAACCCCCAAACCACTTTGGAATTGCAGCTGATATTTGTGGGGATCATAACTTGCTGGCTCTTGCTGAACTTTTCCATAGTTCTTTCTTCAGTTTTTTTTTTTTTTTTTATCCCTGGGTTGTTTTTACTTCTGGGCTTGTCAACATGGATATAACTTAAAAGGAAGGAGATATAAATGCATAGTTTCTTGCCTATGAAATTATATTAAGTGTGTTCAATACATTAGGTATTTTTTCCAATATAGAGGCTTGAGTGAGTTATAGATAGATTTCTTTCATCTTGAGAAATTGATCCACCTTGATATTGTACAGGTGTTGCCACGGTCACCTCCAAGCTTCCAAATACTCATCAATAAGATTGTGAAGATGCACTTGGCATTCTCAACTCGGAGGTTTTTTTTTTTTCCTTTTCAAACAAAAATGGTAACCTGTGTCTGAAAGTTAACACATATTGCTTCCTATGCAGGGCAGTCATAGAGTGAGAACAGGTGCTTTGGCACAAGGTAGTAGAACATCCTACAGGTTTTGTTTGTGGGTGTTTTTGAAATCATTCTAAAAATGGACAGTCTTACAGTCTTTCTTTCTTTCTTTCTTTCTTTCTTTCTTTCTTCCTTTTTTCCTTCCTTCCTTCCTTTTTTATTTCTTTTTAAAAGGACCTTCTTAAGAAATGCTATTCTGCCAAGGCATCTTACCTCTTCCAGCAGGATAAATTCTATGATGTCAGCTACGACACGGGAGACAAGTCTATCCAATGCAGCAGGAGACCAGATGCATTCAAGTTCTGGATGACTTGGAAGGCCCTGGGCACATTAGGCCTTGAAGAAAGAGTTAATCGTGCACTCGCTTTATCTAGGTACTTGCCTATGTGTGTGTGTATGTCTGTAACAGAATCAATGGAAATAACATTTGCAATGTCTGTATATCTGTTCTTTTGTTTGTGCATTTCTTCTTTAATCGAATGACCATTTTCTCAGTACCTACTATGTGTTAGGAATTGTGGACAAAGCAGTCCTACCCCTACCCTCTGGGATCCCAGCCCAGTAAGAGATACACCTAGGTGACAAAGCTGATAAAATGCAAGTGAACTTACTTTTTGGTAAGGGTGGGTATATGGTGCTCCAGGAGCACTCAGGAGGCTTCTTTAATATCCTTGAGGGATACTGACAGAAGCCCTATAAACAGAAGAAAATGGGTGTAGGCAGAGCCCAAATCATGGTAATTTTAAAGACCTGAAAAGCCTGGGAGAATGTGGGGCTGGAATAAAGACACAAAGGTAAAGGTAATGTGAAAGTGCTATAGTTACTTGCTTCATCATAACAGTGGAGACAAAACTTCTGAAGCCATTTCCCAAGACATTAGAAAAACTCTTGAGATATAGGTGGTGGACCTTTGCCACCCAAAGAAGACTCTTCTGCTAAGCATGGATCAGTGGGTGCAAATGGGCAGATCATAGCCGAATTTAGTTTTAAATCTGATTTGTTGAGCCTGAACTACATAGGCTTAATCTTCTTGGTGTTAAAAAAAATCAAACATTTGAAGATGTAAAATATTTAAAAATAGGGAGATTGTCAAAAATCTGGATTTTTGGCTCCTCTCAAAGGATCAGAATGCTCTCGATCCCACATGGTGACAAACCACTGAACATGTTGATGCCTGTCTAGAGAACCACACTCCCCCTGCTTCCTCCTGTTTTTTGAAGACAACCTGGACTCAAAACTTAGCACCATCATTTACAACCTAGGTGACTTGAGCAAGTTTCTTAACTTTTCTGTACTACAGTTTTGTTCCAATAAAATGGAGATAACAATAGTACATCGTTCAAGTAATCATTATGAGGATTAAATGAATTGACATATGTCAAACACTTAGAACTGTGCCTGATGTATGCTACATGCTATATGATTTTTTGGTTATTCTTACTTGCTTAACTACTATAGGCATCAGCGTTTGTGAACTTTGGTTTGGATTCTCTCTCCTATTTACATTTCACTTGCAAAATCCTGAGGTCTCTCCTTAGAGATTTAAAACAATTTTCTCTTTCTATACTGGAAGCTGTATGGGTGCTTTGTCTAACAGCGGTCTGAAAATTCAGTGTCTTAAAACAGCAGTTATTTATTCTCGGACATCTGCTTGTGGGCTGGAGTGGCTTTATCTCATTCTGTGGTGGCTGTGAGGATTGGTGGAAGGTCTCTGTCTACTCCACACGTGCTTTGCATCTTCCTTGGATTAACAAGTGAGCCAGAGTATGTTCTTGTGTTGAAGATGACAGAAGGCCAAGAAGGCAAGCCCCATTATGCAAGCCAACTTTGTGTTTTATTTTTTAAGATTTATTCATTTATTCATGAGAGACAGACACAGAGAGAGAGGCAGAGACATAGGCAGAGGGAGAAGCAGGCTCCATGCAGGGAGCCCAGCGCAGGACTCGATCCTGGATCCAAGGATCACGCCCTGAGCCGAAGACAGACATTCAACTGCTGAGCCAGCCAGGCGTCCCTGCAAGCTGATTTTGAAGTCCTGATTATGTCATATCTACTGGCATTCCAATGGCCAAAGCAAATCACATGGCCAAGCTCAATGTCAAGAGGGAGGGAATACAACCTGCCTTTTAGCAGGAAGAACCGCATATTTACATAGTATTGATCTTGAAAATGAAACAGCCAGTTTTTTACCAGCAAAATGGACGTATTTGGGAATGGCAGAGGAATTGAAATTCACGACATGAAAACTATGGCAAGCCATAGGCAAGTCTGGAGAACAAAGGAGAAGAGTTCACTTGTATAGAGGAAAAGGGGAAGCTGAGAGGGGTTGTTTTCAACATGATACCATTGGAAGAGACAGAGAATGATGGTTTCTCACTGGCTGGTAGTATGGCTTCTCATTGCCTAGAGCTTTTGCTAGACAAAGAGAAAATCTTCCTATTTGCTGTGGTAGTAAAACAGGCTTCTTTCTGTTGGAAAATACAAGGCATGCCTCCTCCTGTTGAGGTCTGCAGTTGATGGCGAGTTTGTAGAGCAGGAAAGCTCCATCTTCATGGCTTCCTGACTCCATTTCAAATGAGGTTTCCTTTATTCTTTTTCATAATGGTTTGGATAAAAGGACAGGTAAAGAGATGGCTTTGGCACTTTTAGAAAATTGTTAGAAGTCAACAATTCTAGTGATTATGATTTAAGAAGTAGTTTTAAAAATCTATAAACACTGTACTGTTTAAGATGGGTTAGGTGGCAAGCAAAAGAAACCATAATTCAAGATACTATAAACAAAGAAAGGTAACTTATTATCCCATGTTCCTTCTAAGCTAGTATAATGATGACATCTGGAATGACTTTATCTAAGGGCTTAAACAACATCACAGGCCTCGATTTTCCTCCATCTTTCAGGTTTGCCATCTTTTATGTGGGTTTATTCCTATGAAGGAAAAAGGCTGCCAGAAGTGTCCGCTCTCTATCCTCTCTTGTCCCAGATTCAAGTTCAAGGTCAAAATGAGAATGTGCTCCTCTCTCAGCAATCCCAAAGGAAGTTTTCATATCTGAATGAAGCAAAGGTCTAACTGTCATCAGTCACTGTTGCCAGGGAAATGTGATCTTCTCACTGGTCACATACCCTCCCTTGGCACTAGGACAACATCAATTCCTCTTATAGAATATATGCTGAACAGGTGAAAATATGCCTTTATTAGGAGCAGGGTTAGTGTACTTCCAGCAGAATTAAGGTAGATAACTACTCAATGTTGAAAATAATGAAACTGTCTACCATAAATATTCATAGTTTCTGTTCAATTAGAATAAAAGTTCAAAAAGCTCTATTTCCTATTTTCTGGCATTTTCTCATACTACTTAAGTGAGGTAGACTCTCTACATTATTTGATTTAAGCTGCTAAGTAATTCATTGACAGGTGTCTTGAGAGAAGGCTAGATATAAATATTTGATGATCATATTTGTTATAAAGTTAAAATTCATCTCAGGGTAGAATTTAATTTATAGTCTAAGGATACTCTCTAATTTTTGCAGTGAAATATCACAGGAGGATAAATGTTAACACTTCAATTCAATTCAACAAACACTTATTGTTTGTAAATGTTTGTCAAGTTGAATTGAATTGAATTAACATTTCAGCGAGCATCACTGCAGACTCTGTGACCTATACCTAAATATTTGAAAAATAATTCTTCTTCTTCTTCTTCTTCTTCTTCTTCTTCTTCTTCTTCTTCTTCTTCTTTTGCCTTAACTTTCCACAGTTTTCATACATCCAACCCTCTATTCCTGGGATGAGCAGAAATCATCCTTTTCTCCTACCCCGAAGGCCAAGCAAATATTGAGTCATTTTCTTTTTCTTTTCTCTTCTCTTCTTTTTCTTTTTCTTTCTTTCTTTTCTTTTTTTTTTTTTGTTTGTTTGAGAAAAAGAAACAGAGAGACAGAGCTGGAAGGGAGGGGCAGAGGGAAAGGGAGAGAGAGAGAGTATCTTAAGCAGACTCCATGTCCAATGTGGAACCTGACACGGGGCTCAATCTCAAAACCCCAAGATCTTGACCTGAGCCAAAATCTTGAGTCAGACAATTAATTGCCTAAGCCACCCAGGTACTTCTATTTTTATTTTATTTTTGGCTAAGACCTTTAAGACATATCACTTGGAATGAATACAAAATTCTAAACTCAGAGAAAATTTCTCTAGAATTAAGAATTATATCAAGTTCGAAACATAAGTATTTATTCTTATGGTTTTAATTATTTTCAAATTGGCTAATTGGTTTTTGGTTCTGCTCTTTAGGAAAGGAAAAGCTTTTTTTCAGTTCTAGGATCTATTGTGTTTGAGCCCAGGTACAGTGGTGTCCTGGTTAACTGGCTCTCTGGAGGGAAAAACAAAAACTCCAGTTTGTAGCGTCTGCCAACCTCCACGGTGTAAATATTCCCATTGTGTAAAATTTCAAGTTACCAACAGTTGAGATTTGCAAACTTCCTGAATATTTAACAGTTGGCACTCACTAGCTAGTCCATACTAACTGTAGAACACCATTGATTAAGTGAGCCAGTGTAATCAGTTCAAACTACTGACTCTTGAGAGTTAAAACACCATTTCTCATCAAGCTCGCTGACCCTAGGCCACTGGCTTTAGAGTTTACCTAATAAAAACAATTCTCATTTGTGCCCAGAAGGCTCCGCCTGGCATAATATCTATAATTTCATAATTAATGTTGTTTTATTTCCAAGACATATTATTTCCTTCAGGAGATAAGAATTAGCAAAGTAAAGCTGCAAATGAGGATTGCATTACTATTTGGGATACCCACCAAATAGCCTGATGTAGAAAAGACACCCATTTCCCTAGACCCTCGGTCAGGTCTCTCAAATACTAGAAGGGCCGGGCAACTCTTTCCCCTTGAAATATTGCAAGAAAGATTGCCCTGACTCCCTAAAAACAATATTACATGTTCCTGAATCGAAATGGAGCTTAGTTTTGAAATTTGTATATTTACTTAAGATTTAAGGATCAGAGTGTGATGGAATGATGAAATGGATTGCCACCACCTTCATCAGATAGCTTGCTCTCTCTTCCCTTGGGAAAGCAAAAGCAGACATTAGAGGACAAAGATTCCTATTTAATGAGTTGTCAGAATCTAGGAAAAAGGGGAAAATTAGTGCCTGGAAGATCTCTAAGGCCTTTACTAATTTCCATCTGACCCTTGTCATTACAATCTGCAAGAAAACTCTTATCTGGAGAAATATTGATGACTAAAGGCTTGATTGCCCCTTGGGTTGTTTGAAAACCAGTGACATTGGGAATTTACAACAATATGCAATTATTAAGCACGATCCAAACCCAGAAGAGGGATTTAAAACCACCACCTCCTGTACCAGGCAGGTGATTGAGTATCCCTGATATCTGCCTAGGAAAGTTGAAAATGTTTCCCAATACCTAGGGCTACCTGTTGCCAGCGGCTCCTTCTAGGCCTCTGCCATGGCCCTCAGGTTAAATGGATATTCAGTAAGAGGTAATTTTTAAAGCCAGCCGAGAAAAGTCATGTGTGTAAATCTTTTCAGCAACAACAAACAGCTTAAGAATTCCCATTCGGCTACTTTGTTAGATCTCCAGTGTATCATCTATCTAGTCCCTTGACACACAATCTCTGTAATCTCTCAGATGACATTCATTTCACAGACTTACATGAATACTGAGGGATTTATTGTTTTCAGTGTGGCAAAGGTGAGCAGTTACACAATGGCACCTCTGTGCTAGTGTATTTCTGTAGGTGGGGAGAGGGTGGGAGTCTGTGGGGGTACGAGAGGGCCAGTGTTTTCATTTTTTCTTTATATTGGTAATTTTTCAAAAATCACAATTGCAGTAGAACGTATCATGTAGGTGTCTGTGATGAATCACACAAGTCATGCAATATGTTCTAATATATGCAGAGCATACAGAAAGCAGATGGAGAAGCCTCTCAGGAGTTCTGGGAGGCTCTGCACATCAGAAAAAAAATTTCAAATGAGGAGGTGAGACTGGGAGAGAAAGTTGGTCAGAGTGTTCCAGGGAGACTCTGAGTAGCTGAGAAAAGGACTGGGAAGGCTGCTTCCAAAAGGGAAACAATGTCCTGCCAAAGGACAAGTTAAATGCAAAAACATCAGACATCATCGTTTAACTAATTGGGGAATTGAGGGTCTTCAGTGTTGGAAGCATATTTGTAAGCAAAGGAAGAGGATGTGTTTGGAAGCAAAATTATCATTCGTGTCTGCTTCAAAATCAAGCTGGAATCTTACAACAAGGAGTTTTTTTAGCTAGTAGGACTGGTGAAAATTCTTGTTAATGTGTATTTTTTTCCTCCCTTCTCTCTTTTTGCTAAGCTTAGCGAGAAGCACAGTGATGAGTTTTATAAGCTATTGTTTCTTCTTCTTCTTCTTTTTTAAAGATTTTATTTATTCATGAGAGACACAGAGAGAGGCAGAGACATAGGCAGAGGGAGAAGCAGACTCCCTGTGGGGAGCCCGATGCAGGACTTGATCCCAAGACCCCAGTAACACACCCTGAGCCAAAGGGCAGATGCTCAAGCTCAACCGCTGAGCCACCCAGGTGCCCGTATTGTTGTTTTTTGAACCCATTTACCTGGATGCCTTTTGGTTGAAGTAGTTTCTGGTTCCTACATTATGTCCCCAAACTAAAAGTACACCTTTTTCTAGTTTGCATCAGATAAGATGCAAACTTATTTTCTTTCTTTCTTTTTAATTATTTTATTTTTTCTATTTTATCTTTGGTCTATTTCCATGTATTGAAAAGAAAAATTGTGAGGAACAAGTCATTCCTATGAATGTAGGCAGAAATGACTCAAACCTTACTTGGATTCCCTCCCCAAACTCTTTTCATTTAAGCTTTAATTGGGGAAGGTACCCTACTCAAGATGCACTTTTCAACTAGCATCTCCAAAACTGCTCTCTGTGGGATAATAGACTTCCAGAAGATCTTAATGAATGTTCTTCCAAAAAATGTTTCCATGGTCAAATATGTTTGGGAAGTGCTAACTATATTATATTACTTCTCTCTCAGAGATTCAGTGCTCCTGAGGGGGCCTGTAATATAGAAACACTTTTAACTTTGCTTTTAACATTTTTAATATGCAGTCATTGTTTATCGTTCACCCAACAACCATTCTTCCCTCTTTTTCTTGCTAAAGAACCTTGATTTTATTTAGGTAGCAATGGTGTAGCTGGGAACATTGGTCTAAGCCAATCTCTGCTGACTGTAATGAGTTTAGGGGTAAATATATGACTCGGCCTCAGTCAAGGGCTCACTCCGAAGAGGGAGAATTCTTCGAAGGCTTCTGGGGAAAATATTCTTACCTAAATAGAGAAAAAGAGAGAGGGAATGCTTTTGCTCTGGCCCCCTCTTTTCCTTCTGGGACACTCATATAAGGATGTGAAGTGTGGAGTGTAGCACACATTTGAGAACGTGAGACAATCATTAGCACTCTGAGCAAGGCAGGCTGAAATGATAGAAAATGCCTGGTTCTTGATGACAGTATTGAACCATCCAACCAGCTCAATAAATGTCTTTATGAATTAAGCCAAGTACCCTTCTAATTGTAGACGAAAGTAATCTAACTGGCATGCCCAGCATTGCTCACATTTATTTGGCAACTGAACTTTTTTATGTGGGAGACATATTAACATGGGTTGGCATGGAGCATAGTCAGGTGACTCCAGCGTAAGCCTTTTATTATGTTTATAATAGCAACTCTTCACCCAAATCACCTCTGCTCTCAACTCTGTTGAGTGTTACACTTTGGGCTCTGAGAGTGGCTACAAAGGGGACAGTGGCCCAGACACAAAGCCCAGGTCCCCATCATTACCAAATAGCAGAGTTTTAACTGAAATGATCCAGCTCTGTTTTAGGATGCCTTTCTCTAGGGAGTAGCTTTAGCCAGTTTGACAGAAATAGCTTAAATTGAGACTTCTGAGCAAGTTTCCTACAGTCATCATCTGTTAGGGAAGGATTTTACCCACCTAGTCCCACATCTCCGTTACATACAGAAGGAAACTGAGGCAGGCTCAGGAGGCTAGAGTCACAAAGTTGATGAGCTGCACAATTAGAACCTTCTAGAGACAGTCCCAGGATTTCTGGCAATGCGAAGTTTTTCCATGGCCTCAGGGTGTCCAGGATTAGTGTAGGCTTCCTCAGCATGAGGTGTGCTATTGCTTTGGAGTTCACGGATAGCCTATATATGCTTGTGTCTGAGAAGCTAAAAAAGTATGGTTCACAATCTTTCCTTGTAACGACAGAGATTATATATGCCTATCTATTATGTTTTTTGCTTTCCTTTTTTCTTTTATTAAGTTCTCTTTCAAAAATTACATGAATAACCACATCTATGAAACTTTGCAAAAAAATTTAAAAAGAGAGTTAGTAATCTCTGTCTACCCCATTGCATCCTGTTTGTTCCTCCCCCTAAATTGTTGTAAACGCCAACAATTTATTGTGTACCTTCTATTCTTTACTCTGTGAAAAAAACTATAGATAGATATAGATATAGGGATATGTATTACTTTTGCATTATTTTTGATAATTTCTTAAAAAGCAAAGTCATATTATCAACATTTCTCAATACCTTGTTTTTATTTCGTGCTAATACATCATGAGCATCTCTGTGATTTAATTGAAGTATATATAATTCATTCTTTTTAATAGCTGTGTCATATTACACTGCATTGCTATAATACATTTTATTTTACCATTTGCCAATTTCTGAACTTTAATCTTGTTTCTAGTTATTTTGCATGAAATACATGCACATCTATGTACACATAGATTTAGGTAAAATTACATATATGAATGATTTTATTTAATTCTTTTGAAACAATCTTTGAGATTAGAAAAGCAGATTGTGTTATTTCAGTTTTCTTGGAATTGAGGCTCAAGAGAAACATTTTTATTGTCCTTAAGTATGAATTGAATATATGTAGTTAGTGACATAATCATACTCCATATAATTATTTTTTAAGAGATTTATATTTATTTTTTTAGAAGGAGGGAGGGCAGAAGAAGCCTCTCTCTGAGGCTCTCAGAGAGAGAGAGAGAGGATCTCCAGTTTTTGCTGAGCACTGAGCCTGACTCAGGGCTCTATCCTACAATCCTGAGATCATGACCTGAGCTATAATCAAGAGTCAGATGCTCAACCAAATGAGTCAGCCAGGTGCCCCTTCCAGATAATTGTACCATAATTTCATATGATGAATGGACCAGAATTTTCAAAGCCAGTCCTCATGAATGAGTGTCATGTTCTTTCTTTCTTTCTTTCTTTCTTTCTTTCTTTCTTTCTTTCTTTCTTTCTTTCTTTCTTCTTTCTTTATATATAAAATCACAATAAGTATTCTGGCAAGTACATTTTTGTCAATGCCCCTGATCATTTCCTTACATTTTACCCCCAAATTTGAAATACTAGGTCAAGGGGTATGAACTTCTGAAGGCTCATGATCAAATCACTAGTTTTTAAGGCCAATTATTTCAAATGGCTCCTCTTTTTATATAAATAATAACCAAGCCCAAGGGAGATGTGTCCATGTTGATTTACTCTATGTTCTCAGTTATTTTGGTCTTTTCTTGATCATATTTCACATCTCGTGTGTCTGTGCCCTTTGCTTATGGCAGGATAGTTCTCTTTTCTCTGATACTGGAGATGACTTCATAGATATTCTAGTAGGGGCTACAGCCCACTTACTTATAACATGATACTAATGATCAGTCCTTTTTCTCTCTGTTTTGGCCTTAGAAAACACAATGTCAAACTTCCTTGATCTTAAATGAGCTTACAGGTAGAGGTACACACCAAAAGCCAGCTAGGTCATTTAAGTACCTATGCTAAATCCCCATTAGAACATGGATGTAACCCCCACATGGTCAGAGGTCTATCTCTAATCTATTTTAGGTGGTTTTCATACTGGGGTTAAAGTCTGATGCTAACACGTGAGATAGATATCACCTCATCCGAAAGACATATCTTTTTACTTGGGCCCCAGGGGTCTGTAGTACGTTCAGGGATATGTGTTGAAATCCTTATTTATCCCCATCCCTCTGCCCTTCCTTATTTCTGAGCCTGTATTTCTAAGCCTTGTCTCTGCATTCTGAAATAACAGTGTTTTTGTGTGCCAGTCATGTTCATGGAATTGTTAGATGCCAGATTATAAATATTACTGTGACTCTCATTTTCAGGTACCTTGTAGAAGAAATCAAGAAAAGAGAAGGATTCAAGTTATTGCTGGAAGTAAGTGATTATGGAATTTTGCTCTTGATTTTGTCAGTCAACAGTGATGAAGGTGGCAATTTTCTAATCTGTTATATTTCATTGGTTTTTGTGTTGCAGACTTAGAAACAAGTCATTAGCTTAATTCATGGAGTCCATTATGTTAATTTACTCTATTAGTGAGTATTTTGCCTTTGTTGGATTCGCAAAGAACACATGTGCCTTAAGTATTGAAAATTAAAGTGCTTAGTAATAATTACCAAGGATAATACTGAATAAATATATAAATTGCATGATGATTGTACTGCGAATATTCCACTGTGCTGTAGTGGTGCCTGCACGTGAAAAATCAATTAAGTGAATGTACAATAATGCATATAGTTTTCTCTTTTTATAAAATAATAGGAACATATTAGCTTTGAAGCAGTGGGAAAATAAGTCATTTTGTGGTTGGACTGTTTGCTATATACAAGAAATAGAATAGTTGCAAGGATAGAGAATATTGGATTTTTCCCCCTAAAATATATGGTTAGAAAATATGAAGGATCTTATTTAATTCTGATTTTTAAGAAATATGAAGTGTGGGATGCCTGGGTGGCTCAGCAGTTGAGCGTCTGCCTTTGGCTCAAGGTGTGATCCCAGAGCTTGAGGATCGAGTCCTGCATCGGGCTCCTGGGGGGAGCATGCTTCTCCCTCTGCCTATGTTTCTGCCTCTCTCTCTGTGTTTCTCATGAATGAACAGATAAAATCTTTATAAAAAAAGAAATATGAAGTGTAGGAGGTTCTCTTAGATCTTCTGATAGCATATATTATATAGCAATCTTTAACCTGATGCAAAAATCACCTGGAGATTACAATCTGGGAACCTTTTCATATGTAAGCAATCTGGCTAACCTTTGGCATTCATTTATTCAGCAAGATTTACTGAGCTATTACTATGCACCAGGCACAGTTCTAGGTACTATAGGTATAAGACAGGGAAATTCCCTGCCCTGGTGGTGCTTATATTCAAATGGCAAGTAATAGGCAAGCAAATTAATACCTAGCAAACATCAGGGAGGCAGATGTCTCAAGAAAATAATAAAGGAGTTTCATGAGAGAGTTACAAATAAATGGAGAGTTACAGATGTGTGTTCTATAACAGAAATAAGGGTGGAATGCGGGAATGATGTTGTGGATGGCAGTGTGGTGGCCTGTTTCACTTGGGTCATGCAGGTAGGGCCTTCTGAGGTCATCTTTGAGGTGAGACCTGATTAATGGTAAGTAGTGTGCCATGCAGATATCCGAGGGAAAGATGTTCTAGATAGAATCAGTAAACAACTACAAAGGCTTCCAGCTGAAAAGAATTCTATGTGTTTGAGTAATCAGGAGTTATATTAAGCAAGGGGGGAGTGTGCAGGAGGTGATGCAGGTGGAGGGAGGGGCAGAGACCAGATCAGGTGGAGTCATGTAGGTTCTACTATTGGCTTTTATTCCAAGTGTAATCATTGGAGAAGTTTTATGCAGACAGGAGTCTGAATTCCATTTTATTTTATTTATTTATTTTTTAAACTTTTTTTTTTACTTTATTTTATTTTCTTGAGAGGTAGAATGTGCACAAAGAGTGGGGTGTGGTACAAGAGAGACTCTTAAGCAGGCTCCAAGCCCAGTGTGGAGCCAGATACAGGGCTTGGTCTCAGGACCTGAGATTATGACCTGAGCCAAAGTCAAGAGTTGGATGTTCAACTGACTGAGCCACCCACTTACCCCCCAAATTCCACTTTAAAATATCATGCTGGATGTCCTAGGAAGAGAGGAATGAGGTGGGAGGAGATGAAGGGAGGCCGAGGAAAGGGTAAATCAGACAAACTGAGATGCTGTTGCAGTGGCCCAGGGAAATATGGTGATGATGGTTTGGGAAAACCATCAGAATTTGGGGAAAATCACAAGTTTGGGAAACACTGCTCCAGAGACTCCTGACCATGCCTTCCACCACTATCCACAAAAGAATCCAAAGTTCCTGAAAAAAATAGGAACATGAGGGAACTTGAATAGACAGCAAGAGAATCCATATTTAAATAACTTTCTGGTAACACTTCAAAGAAGCAAAAAGGTGAATTTAGAGTATGGGACAGTCTACAGGACACCTGACCTGGTTCCTTCAACAGGTTGGTGGCATGAAGAAAAATTAAGGAGGAGGGAGTGATGATCACTCTGGGTTCAAAGAGACAGAAGAGGCCCCCTCACCATATGCAACACACAGAGTTGTTGGGATCCTAGTTTGAACAGTCATAAAAAAAAGTAGATTTTGAAACAGTTGGGAAGTTTCAAATGTGAAACTGGCTATTGGATAATACCGAGGAATCACTGATAATTCGGTTATCAGGTATGATAATGGCATTATCACTACGTAAGAAAGTGTGTATATTTGTAAGAGATACACACGTAAGCACGTGAGGGTAAATCAACAGCTCTAGGATTGCCTGGAGTTCAAATCTGAGTGACTTTTTAAGTTTTCTTGAGTTTAAGTTGCCTTCTTTATTTCCCTGAGTTTGAAATAAAGAGGGAATTCTACAAGTTTGAATCGCCTTCTTTATTTCTCTGGCTGTGGGATCCATGGTGCTTATGGAAAGTGCTTTACACCTTTGGAACTGCAATCTTTTGATAGAGCTGAAAGAAAAAGTGATGAAAAGAAGGTGAACTGTTTTAGAAGTTATTTATATATTCTTCCTAGAGGCTTAAAAGTGATGGGAGGAAACGCGCACCATCATCTTTATGGAATTGCAAACATTCACATCCTTCTAATGCAAGTTAAGGTGGGTTTTCATCCTTAGGCAGCCTTCTGTCCTGGATATTTTATCTATGGGAGCCAGATGGCCCCAAAGCAGCGAAGGCAGCTTTCTCAATAGCACTCCAGAATTCCTACTTCTAAGGGTTTTTATATGTGATCTGCATTTGCGTCTCTTCTCTGTGTTCTGTTTTGAGGAATAATGTACATTTAGACCTTGAATCTCACATCTAAGTGCCAAGGCAATTATCCTTTTTGTTAACAAATGCTTACTTTGGATTGATGAAATATAACTCTAATGCATACTTAAGAGAAGAGAGATTTGATTAGAGTATAGTGTGTGAAATGGAGTCTTTCAATTTAGGAAAAATGAAAGTCTCTAAATATATATATATATGTATATATATATACACACATATACATATATTTTTTATATTTTCTTGTCTATATTTTGATTTATATTATATAATGAATATATATTCATGCAGCTTTTAGCAGATAGAATGTTAAGTGGAACATTGAAAATAGGAAATGAATACAACAAAACAGAGTATCCAGTACTTGAATATCTTTTCCTGAAAACAGCAAAAATAAGGCATCTCTTTTTGAAGATGATTGAAAGTTATCATTTCAAATGGATTCTGCATTATTCATGGCCCCCTGAAAATCATTTCTGTTTTTCTGTGTGGGATCTAAGATCTAATAGATGTTTTCCTAGAGGTTCATTCATTCGTATACTATCATTCACATATTTCCTTTTGCTCTCTTGGAAGAGTCCTAATTATTCAACTTTTTGTTTTTCTCTTCCTGAGTTCCACATTAGGAAGAGTTATTTAGATTTCATAGACTTGCCAGGTTATCAAGGATCTTCAAGGACATTGAGTCAATTTCCTGTTCAAGGTGGGAAACACCTTTCTTGACAGTAATGGTAACAGGAAGTTAACCTTTTCCTGAACACTTCCTGTGTCAGATAATTCACAGCTCAGTTCTCTTCCTCAAACTCGAATTATTTATATTCTATTACTTATTGACCTGTACTATTAACATGTATCAAGCACACTGCAATTTGTAGTTATCTTTTAATCTAGTTTTATTAGATCACAGCACCCTTCTACCTGCAAAATCCAATGTACAGTCTTATATCTTCATTCTGTTGAATTTCTTTAGCATTTTACACCTTATCCAGTCATTGCCTCCCTTTTGAAATGCTCTTCTGTTATGGTTTCTTTGAATTTCTCTCCCAGTTTTTCCCCTTTCCATGTGGCTTTTTCTTCTCAGTTTCAATGAGAAGGTGGTCTCTTCATCTGGGTATCCCATTAAATATTATTTTCCACTCCTCTGTCTTTTTAAAAATTTATTTAGTCATGATATAGAGGCAGAGACATAGGCAGAGGGAAAAGCAGGTTCCCCACTGGGAGCCCGATGCAGGACTTGATCCCAGGATGCCCAGGATCAGGAACTAAGCCAAAGGCAAACACACAACCATTGTGCCACCCAGCCGCCCCTACTCTTCTGTCTTTAGTTCTTTTTGTTTCCACATACTCCTCCTGAAATGTTTAATCCATTTCTAGAACGTTGTTATCATTGGCTTCACTAATGCCTCTATCCGTGACTTGTCTCCTAAATTCTAGTCCTTTATACATAGGCATGTCCTGAAATTTTCAGTTAGACTACCACAGGCACTTCAAATTCAGTATCTCTTTTTTTCTTATTTAAAAAAAATTTTTTAAGATGTACTAATTTATTTCAGGGAGGGGAATCAGAGGGAGGGAGAGAATCTCAAGCAGCCTCCACGCTGAGCACAGCCTGACATGAAGCTTGATCTAATGACCCTGACATTGTGACCTGAGCTGAAACCAAGAGTCAGACGCTCATCTGACTGTGCCCTCCAGAAACCCCTCAAATTCAACATTTTGAAACTGAAGTGTAGCCATTCTCTTTTCCCAAATTCTACATTCTTCTTTCAGTTATTAGAAGTAAGATCCATCCAAACAAAAATCTTGATTGTTGTCTTCCCTATCTCCCTTGCCCTTCTCTTAAAGGCATCTTGGGCAGTTTTCTCCACTCCTGAAGCCACTGCTTCAGTTAAGGCTTCCATCACTCTGCAGATTGGCCTGCCTCATAACTCATCCTTTGCTCATCTTGGTTGCCCCTCCGGCCCATCTCCACACGGTACCCATACTGTGGCCTTTCTAAAGTGCAGTCTGCTTCCAAGATTGAAACTCTCCAGGATTCCACATTGCCTCTAGAATCAAGCCCAAACTTCCAAGCATGGCAGATGAAGAAGCCCTTCGTGAAATGACTTTCATTTCCATGTCCATCTTCATCTCTCTTTTTTTTAAAAAAAAGATTTTATTTATTTTTTCATGAGAGTCAGAGAGAGAGAGAGAGAGAAAGAGAGGCAGAGACACAGGTAGAGGGAGAAGCAGGCAGAGAAGCAGGCTCTACACAGGGAGCCTGATGCAGGACTCGATCCCAGGACTCCAGGATCACACCCTGGGCCAAAGGCAGGCGCTAAACTGCTGAGCCACCCAGGGATCCCCATCTTCACCTCTCTTCAGTACGCCTTGTCCTCTATTCATTCCAAGTTCTTGCCATCCACCTGAGGACATGGGCTTCTACATGTGCACTATGTCTATTGCCAGAGATGCTTCTTGTATTATGAGAAGTTTCTTCTTTTGCAATTCTCATTCCATTAAAGTTTAATTGCCTCTACCTAGCTCCATTACTAGTCGAGTTCCAAGAGATAAGCATCCAGTGTAAGTCATTTTTCTCATCTTAATGTCTGGTCCAGTATCTAGAACACAGAAAATTCTGCTTATTGAATTGAATATTTCAGTTACCCATCTTTGGGCAGGCTATAATTCTTTACCATTCTCCTTCAAATAGTGTATGCAAAAATAGTGATGCGTCTCACCTACTACATATTTTAATGGGGTTATTCATCCACTTGAAAAGGACATATCTTTCTACCAATATAGCTCCAAGTAATAGTCACTAGGCTAATAGAGTGCCTGCTGTATGCCAGATACAGAAATAAATTTTGTAAATAATCTCTGTGCTCATCAAACCAACTCTGTGGGATAGACAATATGATCTCCATTTCATAGATTAGGAAGCTGAAGATTAAAGTGTTCAACACTTGTCCAAGCAAAGACCTGGTAAAGTTGGGATTCGAGCCACATCCATGTGACTCTAAAACCCAGGTTTTTTTGTGCTACTCAGTGCTGCCTTTGAAATGTTTCAGTAGTCTAATCAGATATTTAAGATCGAATACCTTGAAGTCAGTTAAGATCCATCATGCCCCCTTTCTCCATTTTATACTTGCATGATTATTTAACTCTGTCTGCTAGATTCTGCATTTCTACTTATTAAAATGCCCAGTGCTAGCTTTGTCTTTTTTTATTATTGTGATCTAATGATGTCATAAGCAAAGGAGATGAATTTCTTTTGATGTGACTTGGTTTTAGAGAATGCCAGCTATGACATCTTGGTGACCCTTGACATATTTCCCCAAAGGGGTCTCATATCATTCGCTCAATAATCCTTGCTGAAATTGACATCAAAGTTACCTGCTTTATTTCTTAGACTATATCTTTCTTTTCTCTCTGAAATTCAGGCTAGAGTGCAGCCATCCTTTCTTTAGTGGTACTTCTGTGCTTCTCCATGAATTTTTAAAGATTATGACAATGTTTTCCCCACTACAGGTGTTTTTGTACCCTTCACTATCATTTGTCTTCTGTCGACACTTGGATTCTTTTTTATGCCTTTTCAATTTTATGGTGTTAGAGTACATAGACTAAAGTATTCCTAAGACACCTGAGAGGTCAGGGTTTCCTATACACAGGGAATAAAATGGCATGTGAATGGCTCTACTCTGAAAATACTCATTAGTGGTTTGAAGCCTCTTGAGCAGAGTCACTGTATCAAATTCAAGCTACACAGGCAAAGAGACAAGGAAAACTCAAATATGTTCCTTGTGAATATTCAAAGGGATATTTTCTTCAAATCTTAATAATTTTGGAAATGATGAAGTAGAAGTATTCCACTAAATGGAGATCAAATTTTCTCCAATCAAATGAAGTGTCAAAAGGACTTCATCAATTTTCAAAGGCCACGGCACTGAAGCCACACCATTCTAAAAGATACTGGGAAAAAGGAATCACAGATATGTCACTTCAAATATATCAAAACAGAAACTAAGTAAAACAAATGTAAAAGGTGATTTAAAAGGCCTAGGTCCTAACTTCTAAAATATAGAGCAGCTACGGTAGCAGGTAAAAACTACTACAAAATGATTTATGATGTTGCCATGCAAATGAAAAGTAATGAGTTAATGATGTATTAGTCAGGGTCCAATAAGAACACAAAAACTGCACAGCAATTTGAAGTGGGGAAAGTGCAGAATGAAGAATTATTGTGCTTGCTTCAGCAGCATATATACTGAAACTGGAATGATACGGAGACAATTAGCATGGCCCCTGTGCATGGATAACACACAAATTTGTGAGGCATTTCATATTAAGAAAAGAAGAAGAATTATTAATAGGGGATTTCCTCATAAGCGAAAAAGAGAACCCTAAAAAACCCACAGAAATAGAAGATGTAGAAAACAACCACCACTCCTAAAATTGGGATAGAGCACCCCATCAAGAGGCCACTCCTTTCCAGGGCTGAGATCCAGGTGTAGTTGGAGAGGGCACAGTGTAGTACACTGGATCGCAAAGAAATTCACTGAGATATCCCACTACTAGAATTTGCTAGGGATCCACCTTCTGAAGTGCTAGAGGAAGCCATTTTCAGAGCTGTGCCTTGAAACTCACTCGTCTACACACAGAGGTGCCAGAGAAGACATCTGAAGCAAGGCACCTTGCTGGCAGCACTCCCCTGTAAAACCACTTGCAGGGAGTGTGCCAGAAAAAACAATTTAGGGCACTGACCAATCTGTTGTGAAGCCATCTGAAGGGGGTGGTGCTGGAGGAATCTATCAGGGGTCCACTTGTGGCTGGGCACCAGTACTGCTGAAAACCCCACACATATTGGAAGAGATCCATGAGGTTAGCACACCAGAACCCAGAAGAGACACCTCTTCCTTCTCAGTGTCCCTCCAGCACCCTCTGCTGATAAAGTCTAAGATTGGAGAAGATGTCAAGGAGAAATATTTATAGAGTCCACTTCCATTTTCATAAGATGCAAAGTATGGATTTGAGCTGAGCAGCAGTAAATTGATAACTAACATAAATGATATCTGGAAAAAAATCATTACTGATATAAAGACATGAATTCCTAGGACCCGATGGCAGATAATAACTATATTTTTCTTCTACTTTCTAATCAACCATAGTTACTTTATTTGAAAAGATTTATTCACATTAAATGAGTAAAGAATTTTGAAGTCCAGTACATTTCTTTCATAGAGAAACCAAATCAATTATATCAGAAATCCAAGTATAAATTGTGTGGATTTGTACAGACTCTTGTAGTCTCATGATAAATGTTTGCAGAAATTGAGTTGAATTAAATAGTACTCCATCTTGAACTACTTCATATTTTGAAGATTTTTGGCTCTTTTTCTTTTTTCTTTTTTTTTTTTAATCAAATCCAGTAAGAATGTTACAATTTTCAAAGGTTAAAGGACTTATCTTTTGAGCTGGGAATATTTCTGAGCATTCACTTGTGATTTAAAATCCACTAGAATCAGGACTCTACATAGTACTGGTCTTGATTTTAAGATATAAGATGATAGCTGTTTCCTCTTTCTGAAATACTTGGAAACTTTATAGTGATACTGGAGCATAACTCTGATGGTTACTGAGAACTATTATAACATTGGTTATTACCTGCAAACTGTGTTTGTGTAGGAAAATTGAAGTTATTTCAAATACTCTCGCTGCTAAGAATCAAATGAGGAAGCTGTTGAGTGGGTAGGGATGACCTAGAATGTTTCCTAAATATCTAATCTCTTCCTATGTGTCTAATTTGTAAACCCTCACCATAATTTCCCAAGTCAGCTGGTCACTGAAAACAAGTCTTGTGATTGCCTGTGACATTCCTATGTTTTTGTCCAGTGAGGATGGACAAAAGGAGGTATAGTGGAGAAAATTTTGTCTATGTGACAATAGTTAGACTAAAGCTTGTTCTGGAAGATCATCCCATGTTTAACCCAAAACAGATTAATTACCAGAAATGATGATTGGGCTATGGCCACTTTAGATCTGAGTTTCTCAAGCATATACCATGCACTACTTATTTCAGAATCACCCGAGACGCTTCATAAAATGCCAATTCTCCAGGCTTTTCAATGATGAAATACATCAGATTCTGGGCATTCTAAGCACAGGGTGTGAGAATCTGTTTTGAACAAGCTCCCTAGCTGATTCACACCTTACTGATACTTGAGGCTGACACTGAGACTTGAGAGCCAAGAGTCAAGGTGATGTTCTTTTTCCCAAAGCAGTATAGGCTAGGGTCACAACAGGGCTCGTTAAGTGAAGTCCAAGCATGTCGTATGTTATCAACTCATAGATAACCGGGGATTTTCCGTGTGTCTTCCATTACCTGCTACACCTGACAGCTTTGGCTACCTTAGATAGAGAAGGGGTTATTGGAAGGAGATGGAAGTGAAAGAAATAGTTAAGGATCAAGGTTGAAGAGGGAGGATTCAAGGCATCTCTGGGCATGTGTGTATCCGGTGCTAACTAATCGTCAGAGCTTGGTTGAGGCAGCTTCAAACTTGATTATGTTTATTCCCAATTTTGTGCTCATCCCTTACATGGAGGAAACAGCTCCTTCTGGGTACATCCAACCGAGAAGAAAATTTCCCAGTAGGCTGTTACCCAAAGTAAAGCAGAATGAACATCTAGCTCTATAAGATTCTGATGTGTTATCAGTGTAATACACACATGACAATTCTTAAAGAAAGTAGCTAAGAGCTTAATAACATTCTAAGATTAATCTTAGGCTAACAAAACAACTTTCATTTTATTTTTTAATCCTCAGCCTGAATATGCCAATATTTGCTTTTGGTACATTCCACCAAGCCTCAGAGAGATGGAAGAAGGACCTGAATTCTGGGCAAAACTTAATTTGGTAAGTAACAAGTAAATTGCATTTTTCCTTTTGATGAAATGATTCAGTTCCCATTGTCTATTGATCCTATGAAGAATTCTGTACTTGAAAGACTGCCTGAAGATCTAGAGAAGTGGCTCCTAGGATACTGAAAGGTAATTTATGACATGCCAAACAGTTGTCAACACTGCTTAAACAATGTGACTTACTTGATCCACACATGATTTCAAAATAATAGCGCTGTGTGCAAGACAGTTATAGGATGTATTAGAAGTTCTAATTCACAGTGTACTTCAGAGAGTATGATCTGGTAACAGGACACAAGGCTGAAGTTCCATGATGAATGGCTCCTTCTTCAACTCTGCCTGTGCATGTCTATGACTGCTTGTATGGAGATAATGTCAAAAGTCTACATCTGGTACCCTTTGTGAGTGTGAGAGCTTCTGTTCTTTCCACCAACAAAAGCATCTTATGCCCAAGGGGCTTATGTGATAAAAAAGAAAAGTGATTCCAGCAGTGGGTTTCGACTGATGATAGAACAAAATGTGCTTGAAAGTCTCTCCACACACAGCTGGTGAGGGCTGACAGTCCCACGCAAGGAGCAGGCCCAGGCTCTAGGGACTCCTTGTGTATCACCTGCACCTCTCCTAGCATGGTCCTGCCAGCTAGATTTCTGCCTCTAAACCAGATTTCCAAGAACCGTGAAGTCTCACGAACCAACACTACTTGTTCCCAGTCCCCTGCTGCATGGACATTGTGTATTTTGAAGTGAACCAGTGGGAGTTTGCCCTGAGGATTCTGTGGCCATGACACGTAGAGTGAGAATACACAATGGGTTAGAACCATCAAAGTTGGGTAATGCTCTACCCCTTGTGTCTTCCCTCTCAAGCTCAGTGACCTCTATCGCCCTGGTTAGTAAAAACTGACTTGCAAATCTCTCTCTATCCTCTGTGGGAAAATCAGTGATACAGTTAATAGCTATTATAGGCAATAGCACTTCTAATTCCCAGTCAGGTAAACGACAAACCTTCACTGAGTGCTCACTCTACTGTGCACTGGAGATACAGACATCAAAAAGACTTGGCCCCCAGCCTTGAGAAGCTCGTGAGTGAGGAGACAAATGAGTAAAGGGTTGATCACAAGGCAGCTAGTAAGACCCAAGATGGAGATGAACCCTGTTTGCACTGATTGCAGAGAGAAAGATTATCTACATTGCTGTGTGACACAGTAGAGCTAAGTCTTTTTTTTTAGTAGAGCTAAGTCTTGAACAACCAGGAGACAGAGGACAATCATAGAGAAGTAGATTCTAGGAAGAATCACAGCATGATGACTTAGAGATGTAAGAGAAGAGCGTGTGATTCAAAGATCACAGGATTCCAAAGGGAAAGTCATGGGGTCCTTGTCTTTCATGACAAGGAGCTTGGAATTTGTGGCTAATTAAGAGAAAGAGGAAAGACTATGGCCTTTAAGCCATAACCACCTATAACCTCACCTACAGCATCTTCTCTTAGCTTCAAGTCATTTTCTTTTTCTTCATGGTTCATTAAACCTCCTACACTGTAGCATAACATATACGCAATATATACATACTCTACCCCTTGTCAAAAGAGAGGTCCGGCAGCAGAGATGGAGAGAGAGGGATGCTGGTATCTGTTCCTTTGCCTAGAAAAGTTAATTCCCTTCATTACCCATTTCAGGCAATTAACTCAGTCCTGGGGCTCTGTCTTGCATTTTACCCACTCAGAGCAAATAGAACAGGGCTAAAGAATGCATTTCACATGTAAGTAACCCCCCCCCCAAAAAAAAGACAAACAATGTGAGAATTTACTAGTGAGGTTTCTAGGGACATTATGTACTTTGATGGAATACAACTGACTTTTTTTTGGGGGGGGGGTGGTGTGGGAGAATAATTGCTCAGGATTGAGAAAGATCTGGTTGCCATTCTTCTCACTTTTCCATTGTTAAGAAAAGCAACCAAGAATGTGTTATTTGTGTTTTACTGACTCAGTACTGTTGCGTGGACATGGATCAGGAAGTCCAAAGAGTCCCATTATATTTGGGGATCTTTTTGACTCACTCTTCCTTTATTTAAAGAAATAGTTATGTTATCTATTCTCAAAAAATTTGAAATTGAGGACAGATACATGTGCTAAAATCAGATTATTAAGCAAATCATCCACTTTTAATCTTAATTGGAAATTGAATATTAATCAGGACATTCTCTTCTATCTCTAATATTTTCCAGCATTGAGTCTCTGATAGTTTATATCCATGATTCTCTATTACTTCATTTTGGAATGTTTTGCTGCCATTTAGAACCATGGTTTTCTTGACCCATCTAATGTCATACTATTTTAGGGTCACTCCTAACAATAAACATGTATGCGGCTGACATATAATCATTGGTTCATAGAGTGTTAGTTTCCTTTTATTGTCTCTCTTTGTGTGGATGTGTGTGCATGAAAGGAAGGAAGGTGTAATCCTTGTGGTTTTCTGCTTACTGTATGTAGTATGGCAGTGCAAGTATATGATTTATAACCTGGAATGTACTTGAAACACGCTTAAAATTTATTTTGGGGTTCATCTTGGATGGAGAATCACAAACAAATAAATAAACCGAATAAGGCTTTCCCCCTCTAACTTGGGGTAGCATCGGGTTGGGGGGTCGGATGGAGAATCAGTGACATGACAAGTCTTCCTTTTGGCAGCAGGAGGACAGAGGGACTGTGTGTGTGCTGGCAAATGTGTGTGCACATGTATGAGACTACTTTTGAGAACGCAAACACCCTGTAGTCACTCCATGACACTACTTGCAATCACTGAATTCCAGTCATCTCTCTTTTTAAAGATGTCCTCTGTAGAATGCTCTTCTTTCTGATGCTTGCAGGCATCGCAATATTCTAGATATGTGTTCCTTCCCTGCCCAGATTGCATTTACCTCCTCTCTGTTCTCTTTGCCTCATGTCATCTCTTTTTTCCCATTTATTTTCTTTGCTCTCTGCATATCCATGCCTCCAGCTCTGCTTCATCACGTTGCTCTCCTGCTGGAAGCCTCTGATGGTTCCCTGTTCTTTACAGTAGCAGTTTTCAACCCGGTATCACCAATGACCAATTTTTTTAATAAATTAATTTTTTATTGGTGTTCAATTTACCAACATACAGAATAACACCCAGTGCTCATCCCGTCAAGTGTCCCCCTCACTGCCCATCACCCACTCACCCCATCCCCGCACCCCACCCCCGCCCTCCTCCCCTTCCACCACCCCTAGTTCGTTTCCCAGAGTTAGGAGTCTTCATGTTCTGTGTCCCTTTCTGATATTTCCCACACATTTCTTCTCCCTTCCCTTATATTCCCTTTCACTATTATTCATATTCCCCAAATGAATGAGAACATACACTGTTTGTCCTTCTCCGACTGACTTACTTCACTCAGCATAATACCCTCCAGTTCCATCCACGTTGAAGCAAATGGTGGGTATTTGTCGTTTCTAATGGCTGAGTAATATTCCATTGTATACATAGACCACATCTTATTTATCCATTCATCTTTCGATGGACACCGAGGCTCCAGCCACAGTTTGGCTATTGTGGACATTGCTGCTAGAAACATCGGGGTGCAGGTGTCCCGGCGTTTCATTGCATCTGAATCTTTGGGGTAAATCCCCAGCAGTGCAATTGCTGCGTCAGGGCAGGTCTATTTTTAACTCTTTGAGGAACCTCCACACAGTTTTCCAGAGTGGCTGCACCAGTTCACATTCCCACCAACAGTGTAAGAGGGTTCCCTTTTCTCCGCATCCTCTCCAACATTTGTTGTTTCCTGCCTTGTTAATTCTCCCCATTCTCACTGGTGTGAGGTGGTATCTCATTGTGGTTTTGATTTGTATTTCCCTGATGGCAAGTGATGCAGAGCATTTTCTCATGTGCGTGTTGGCCATGTCTATGTCTTCCTCTGTGAGATTTCTCTTCATGTCTTTTGCCCATTTCATGATTGGATTGTTTGTTTCTTTGGTGTTGAGTTTAAGAAGTTCTTTATAGATTTTGGAAACTAGCCCTTTATCTGATACGTCATTTGCAAATACCTTCTCCCATTCTGTAGGTTGTCTTTTAGTTTTGTTGACTGTATCCTTTGCTGTGCAAAAGCTTCTTATCTTGATGAAGTCCCAATAGTTCATTTTTGCTTTTGTTTCTTTTGCCTTCATGGATGTATCTTGCAAGAAGTTACTGTGGCCAAGTTCAAAAAGGGTGTTGCCTGTGTTCTCCTCTAGGATTTTGATGGAATCTTGTCTCACATTTAGATCTTTCATCCATTTTGAGTTTATCTTTGTGTATGGTGCAAGAGAGTGGTCCAGTTTCATTCTTCTGCATGTGGATGTCCAATTTTCCCAGCACCATTTATTGAAGAGACTGTCTTTCTTCCAGTGGATAGTCTTTCCTCCTTTATCGAATATTAGTTGACCATAAAGTTCAGGGTCCACTTCTGGGTTCTCTGTTCTGTTCCATTGATCTATGTGTCTGTTTTTTTGTGCCAGTACCACACTGTCTTGATGACCACAGCTTTGTAGTACAACCTGAAATCTGGCATTGTGTTGCCCCCAGATATGGTTTTCTTTTTTAAAATTCCCTGGCTATTCGGGGTCTTTTCTTATTCCACACAAATCTTAAAATAATTTGTTCTAACTCTCTGAAGAAAGTCCATGGTATTTTGATAGGGATTGCATTGAACGTGTAAATTGCCCTGGGTAACATTGACATTTTCACAATATTAATTCTGCCAATCCATGAGCATGGAATATTTTTCCATCTCTTTGTGTCTTCCTCAATTTCTTTCAGAAGTGTTCTATAGTTTTGAGGGTATAGATCCTTTACCTCTTTGGTTAGGTTTATTCCTAGGTATCTTATGCTTTTGGGTGCAATTGTAAATGGGATTGACTCCTTAATTTCTCTTTCTTCAGTCTCATTGTTAGTGTATAGGAATGCCATTGATTTCTGGGCATTGATTTTGTATCCTGCCACGCTACCAA